GTTTACCTATAAGAAGAAATTTGTAAGCAGAAGAAATATTGAAATTTCCATCCGATGATGGATTCCAAATAAACAGATCCTCTCATCTCTCATCTCTCAGGACATTAGTGCAAGCAATGCGGTTTATAACATGACTAGGTAACCATATCCTCATTTTCTGAAGATCCCAATTCCCTGTAATCAGAAAAAAATCTGCAACTTTGTCATTTGCATTGAAAGTGTTATCAATAGCAAGATGAGTCAAAGGAATGCCGCAACATTCCCACAAATCAGTCCAGAAGTTAGTACTTTTGCCGTTCCCAACTCTTTTCTTGACGCCTTTAATAAAATTATCCTAGTAGTTTACAATACCTTGCCATGTCAAGGAGGCACTTGCTTTTCTCCTAATCGTGGGAACAACTTCAATGCCACATTTTTATTTAGATTTCTAAACTTGACCCACATAGCTTTACTATTGTTTAGTAGCTGCCAACAAAGTTTAAACATGAAAGCTCTATTTTGAGTATTTAAATCCTTAATTCTCAAACCTCCACTTTTTTTTTTTTTTAAATCCTTAGTGACCTCTTTCCAAGCCAAAAAATGGAATTTCTTAGCATTATCCTCATCTCCGCAAAGAAAACTTCTACATTCTTTCTCCATCTCTCCAAGTGATGTTTTTGGGAGTAGCATAATTTGCATGTAATAACTAGGCATTGCCGAGATAACTAATTGAATCAAAACTGCTCTCCTAGCAGCATTTAACATTTTCTTCTTCCACCCGCGACATATGACTCTTGACTTTATCCAGGATAGGAGCAAACAAGCAACATGATGCTCTTTTATGAATCAACCAGATCCCAATATACTTTTCCAAATCGCCTGTCAAATTAACTTGCAATAGCCTGCTCAACTCTAAAGCTCTATTAATATGGACATTACATGAACAGCACATAGGAGTCTTATTTCTATTCGCTTTCTGGCCAGGAAAAAAAAAACATAACTTTTGAATACAACCATTTATTATCTCCACCAGGTCAAAAGACGCCCCAGCAATGTGTCTTGATATTTCAGACTAGGTGATGTTGGCCAAAAAAGTTTATGGGTACTTTAATTTCCAAATTCTGAAATTCTTTTGACTAGACGAGTTTTCACACACACACAATCAAAGTCCAAATGATGATGAAAGAGTTCATTTTGAAAGGAAAGATTTTGCTGGGAATTAGCATGATTATGAAAATAATTAAGGGCTCAAGATTATGAGAAACATAGGAAAATAAGATTATTGGAGGAAAAAACAATATCGTTGGTGTTTCCAAGTTAATTTGGTTTATGTAAGTATGTATATCCTAGCATGGGTGTTGTCCTGTGATGCATGATAAGCAACCTAATCATCACAGTAATTTGTTCCTCTGAAAGCGTGGTTAATGGTAAGATCCTGTCTCTCAGTGTTTTTATTTCGCTGGTAAAAAAAAAAAGTTTTTTTATTTCATATATGTTTATTTCTTCTTTACGGTGAATTTGAATTCACCACATACACACACAAGTAAATGTCAAAATCAAAGAGCACGCAAAAGAACGTGTTAACATGGAGAAAGGAAAAGCTAGTAGCTCGATATCGCCTTATACGACGAAAAACTTTATTGTCTGTGTGCACTATTCCACTACGTTTATTTACTTGTTTAAATGAAAACAGTTTACCTTTTTAAAATTTTAATCTTAATATTCAAATATATAAACGTATAAATATAAAAAAAATCCAATTTGCATTATTTTTTGCATGCTCCATCCAATATTACTTATAAATTATTTTCAACGTAATAAAAAAACTTTAAATTTTATTATTTCAATCTAAAAATTTAATAAAATTTTATCTTTACTCCTATTAAATACATACATATATATATATATATATTAAAAATAAAATACCTCAGCATTTAATAGGAGCACAAAAATAAAAATGGACACAAAAATCATAAAAATACACTATAAATAAAATAAAAAAATAATTTTGTAATCTTATTATGTGAGAGGTAAATGAAATGAATGGAATGTCAACATTTGTGTTGGTTAGTGAATGGGGGTGCCATTATTGTCTGATCGTTTTTCTGCTCTTTATTGTTCCCCAGTATCTTCTCTTTTCTTGACTCGCGGTTTTGGGGTGTGAAAAAAAGGACTGAAACTTGTAAGATAAAGTAGATTTGGTTATTGGTTGGATGGCATGAAAAAAGCTCATTTCATTCCCAATAGTGATGCCACCTCTATTTCCAACAACTGATTCCACATTTTCATTCCTTCCATCAAGTGAAGGAATGTAAGGGTTCACTTACAATCGTATAAACAAATTTACCTTCTTGCCCTTTATTCTTTTTTCAGAAAGTAAATGCATACGTGCTTCGGTGCATGTTTGTTTCATCTCATCAAGTCTTATCTCCATTCAAACTAATAGTTCTATAATGCTATGTTTGTATATATAAAAATTTAGGTTTGAATTTAAATTTGAGACGAATTGATTGTTTAGGAAATTAAAAATATATAAATTTAAATTTGACCTGAATTCAAATCAAAATTTTACCTCAATCTTTCTTTAATTGAAAATTCTTTCTAAATCTCTCGTATTTCGAATCCCACCTCAATCTCTTTATAATTTGACTGGCCCATCGACAATGCTAAACAGGAACAAATTGCTAGTGGCAAACAGGACTAGATCGAGACTAAGCCACCGTAGCCAACTAAGATTGAATGATCAACTTCATCGAGAATGGATTGCCAGCGAAGACTCCAAAGTGTAGGCACAATGGGGATCAAATGGCTGACTATCATCAAGACCAAACTGTCAGCGTTGATCAGGAGAAGATCGCTGGCCTTGACCAAAACAAGAGTGTCGGCGCCGATCGAGACTAGACAGCCACCTACAACTAGGATTCAAAGGCTGAATCCCACTGTGATCTAAACCAACGACTTCAATTGGGATCAAACTAGCAACCTTGATCAGGACTGGATCACCGCGTCGATTAGGAAAGGGGTGTAGGTGATGACCAGGATCTAACATCCAACTTCCATTGAGACCAAACGGCTAGCACTTGTCTTTTGTCTTAAACCTATCCAATCTTAGTTAGGGTCAACAATCTTGTCCTTGTCAATAGCAGTCATCCAATCCTTATCTTCACCTGTACTCCAGTCCCGATCAACACTAGTGGTTCAGTTTTAGTGAAAGTCGGCCATCCAGTCTCAGTCATCGCTTACACTTTTGTCCCAATAGGTGCTAATAATCCGGTTCTCATGGAAGTCAACCATCCAGTCCTAGTTGTTGCCAGCGATATGATCTAGATGGAAGTTTGTCATTCGATCTCAATCTAATCCTAATGAAAGTTAGCTATCTAGACCATCAACTTTGACAATGATTAGACTACTAATGTTGTTCGAGTTGCCTTTAAATTTAAACATAAAATTTAAAATTTTACTTAAAATCAAAATAAAGAATTTTAATATTATAATTTAAAATTTTTTATATAATCTACATAAAGAATTTATAATTTATAAATTTTAAATGTGAAGTTTTAAATTAAAATTTTCAATTCAAATTTATTCATTCAAATATAATCTAAATATATCTAACCAACCAAATGGCTCAAAAATATTATGAGCTGTTTTTTTACCAAAAAAAAAATTCATGAGTTGAAAGCTTAACTGTAAGATGAGAGATTGATGGAAAGCGAGAGGAAGATTCAAGACTGAGGAAGACCGAAGGGGCCTCAGTGAGGTGCTACGCCCACTGACACTTAAAAGACGCGACAACACCCTCCTGGGGACAACACTTTGTGCCGTTTCCATGAAAAAAACCCCTTAGTCTCCGCTCTACACCCTGCCCTTAATACCTCAATTTCATTTCTTCCTTTTCCTAAATTTTCCCTCATCTATCTTATATTCCTATATTTATAAATAATAACTATATAATATCAATTGAATATAATACAAAAAATTTATAATAATACATAGAATGATATGTCTACTTAACTATATACTAGGAATATGCATTGGCCTTTACAGTCATTTTAGTTTTTTGTAATCCTCTCATAAAGAAATGCGGCAATGAATAATTGGATGAGCAATATGTTCATCATTCATTTAGATCATTGAGATAATATATACATGCACCATCTAATTTTATTGGTAAGTCACTTTTAATGTATTTTATTAAAATTAATAAAAATTTTAAAACTCATTAAATCTGTTTAAAAATTTAATAATTTTTTAGTTTCTATTAATAACATGCCCTATAAATAAGATAAAAAAAATCTATCTCTACTTTATAAATAAGATTGGGGGAGTGTATGAAATAAATCTAAAATAATTTTAGTTATTAATTACTTCCTTCGTTAAAAAATGTAAGGCATTTTTTGAGCAGTTGAATATTTAAAAATATAATATATTTTTAATCTTTTGAGATGTAATCATTAATTTTTTTAAAAAAATGACCCTATTAACAGTAACTTTATATTTATTATAAAATATTTAATAAGAATAAATATAAAAAGATAATGTTAATTTAAAAATAGATAACTACTTTATTGAAGATAAAACTAAATTAAAAATATTTTATATTTTAAATAGAGTGAGTATAAATTTAAACAAAGCAAAAGAAATAACATGCATTATTTTAAACATACTTTAGGCGTAACTGAACTGAAAATGTTTTTATCTCCGTGACTTGAAAAAAAATCTGACTGGACCAAACTCAACCCAGTCTGCTGTACCCGAGTCCAGAGGTTGAGCTAAGTATTGTACTGGGACTCCATGTGCAGGATAAATTGACCGGTGATGGGTCAAAAGGTAAATAACCAATAATTTATTGACAGTGTTAAGTATTTATCCCAAACAATGGTAGATTTTGTGGAAATTGAGAAATGACCCATCATCATACGAGGTTGGGACACAATCCACACAAGGCCTTTCCAAGGTCTTTTCCTTTTCCTTTTCCTTCCCTTCTTCCTTTTCTTTTCCGTACTCTTCTAACGCAAATAAGCAAAAGAAAGAAACAGAAAGAGAGAGAAAGAGAGGAGAGAGAAACACAGAGTCCCACAACTGTCTGTCCTCGCTGCTCGACAAAATTGCCACCGCCAATAATGGTTGGGACTTGGGACCTTTGAAACCAGACACACAACACAACCCTCTCTCTCTCTCCCCTCTGAAATCTCTCTCTCACCAACTCTCTGAGTTTCATATGCATCATCGTCTGCCATATCTCTTCTAAATTTCCACCTTTCGTTTCTTACCACAATCCCTCTCCTCTCTGAATTCCCCTCCAATTTCATGTTTTAACCTCGAGTCACTATTCCTTCCAGGCACAGCATTTATTGTGCGTTACATTCTGCAGATATGAGCGTGTATTATCAACATTTCAGAAAGCTAAGGAATATATTAATATAGATATGATTATTATGGGGTGTCCTTCTGCTGCTGCTTCTTGGGGATTACATTTATTATTGCTATTGTTTTGTTAGTATCATCACTCCCATACAATACAGCAACTACTCTACGGAAGAATTTAAGGTCACTTCTGATGGAGAGGCCTCAAGGACCCATCAATTCCTGTGTATGTTCGTTGTTGTTTACTTTCAGTTTCCTTGTTTTTGGTTTTCACACTTCTTCATTTTTGCCCTTTTCTGGATAACACACTCCCCGAACCCTCAAACAGTACTGCATTTTCTCCTTAAATGCTTGGCATTTATTGTTGTGTGTTATTTTCCTGCAAATATGTATATATATGCGTCTGCATTCTGCGCTGCTCTCGCTCTTTCTGCATTCTATAATCCTTCCTCTTTTCGTACTGTTTTTATTTTATCCGTTGAAATTGAATCCACAATCCCAGTTGTGGAATGATATATTCTTTGCTTCTTTGAAGTTCTGCATTTTTTTCATCTCAAGAGTTTTTTTTCCCTCTTGTTGCAGCTCTTTGGTGAGCATTTGGTGCCGAACTGCTTCGAGCAAGGTCTGATTGAGAATGAAGATGAAGAAGAACTTTTGATGTCACTATCAAGTTTGGATGATAAAATGCCATTTCTTGAGATGCTTCAGAATGTGGAATCTCAAACCCCACAATTGTTTCCCTTCAAAGACTCGTACTTCCAGTTTCAGACACTTGTAAACCAGAAGAAACCATGCGCAAAAGAAGAGAGGGAAAGGGTGTCCGTACCTAGAGCAATAGAGACCCAAGTTCACGCGCCGCCGGAGCTAGAGAGCTGCGTCACCCACGAGACGGCAGAGATGCCGTCGCAGTCGTTGGAGAAATCTGAGAACTGTAGGAGAAAGAGGAAGAGACATGTTAAGAGCAGAGAAGACGTGGAGAATCAACGCATGACCCACATTACAGTCGAACGCAACCGTCGCCGCCAAATGAACGACCACCTTGGTGTTCTGAGATCGCTCATGCCTCCACCCTATATTCAAAAGGTAACCAATTTGTTTTCATAAATCGAACCAAACCCACTTCTTCAATTTCCCTCGTTTAGCTTCTCTCGTGGTAAAAATCTAACCTTTTGTCTCACCAATGAACTACCACCTCAGTACGTTCAAACCCAATTCTTGTGGTTTGTTAATAATAGATGTCTTTTTTAGGGTGACCAAGCGTCTATTATTGGAGGTGCAATAGATTTTGTGAAGGAATTGGAGCAGTTGCTTCAATCCCTGGAGGCACAGAAAAGGATGAGAAGGAACAATGAAATTGGATTCAGCTACGGAACGACGTCGAGTGTGGAAGAATCGAACTTTGGGGAAGAGGTGCAGGCAGAGAGCAAGTCAGAGTTTGCAGAAATAGAAGTAACTGTGATTCAAAACCATGTGAACCTCAAGGTTCAGTGCAAGAGAAGAAGCGGGCAGTTAGTGAAAGCCATTGTGGGTCTTGAGGATCTTAGGCTAACTATTCTGCACCTAAACATAACCTCCTCCTCCCGGGCCTCGGTTCTCTACTGTTTCAATCTCAAGGTATTTCTCTGTCTTCTGCTCCTTTTTCTCCCCCTACGCCCCTCGAAACCTTTTCTCTTTCATGATTTCTTTTACCTTCAATTGGGTCAACTCATCACTGTGGAATCTGTACTGTTTCTGCGCTTCTGACTTCTAACCTAAGCCAAACCTGGCTTCTCTTCTTCGAATAATGCCTTCCCTTTATAAAAATTTCAACTTTTTCATAAACCCACCTTTTTCGCTTTTATCCCATTTCAAAATCTTTGCTAAAAACTTAAACTTTCGGACTTTATTTTCAAGTATAAAACGCATCGTTTTGGTGCCTTGATAGTTGATAGCCATTGATTAACTTGGACTTAACACACACTGAGTAAGCAGTTAAGTGGGAGCAGAAAGGACTGTGATGAAAATGGGTTTGGTATATTGATGAATGCAGATACAAGAAGAGTGTAAGGTAGTGACAGCAAGTGAAATTGCAGGAGCAGTTGAAGAGATGTTCAGGTTCATCAATGGAAGCTAGCAAAGGAAGTGACTGGGACTAGGAAGGCAGAGAAACGGGGAGCAGAGGGCACTGCTAATTTGTCTGTATAGGCCATGTGAATTGAATTATGCTTCTCGATAATGTGTGTGATATAGAGAGATGGAGACAGATTTAGTACAGAGAGAAGACAGAGAGGCCATCACATGAAAACATTGATCTGCTCCTTAAATAGTAATCTCCTTAATTTAATCGTCCTCCCAATGTTTCGTCTCATTTTTTTCTCTCTGTCAGACACTATTAATTTGTTCTGCTGATGCTTTCCCTACACTGGATGGTACCACTTTTCATGATTTTTTTTTGTCCATTTACTCCATCCTTTTAAAAATATTTTTTTTAACTGAATCTTATCTCTAATTAATAAATTATTTATTTTTAAATTAATCATATCTTTTTATATTTATCTTTATTAAATATCTTACAATAAATATAAAGTTACTACTAATAGGACACTTAAAAAAAAAAAGACTGATTATGTTTCAAAAGACTAAAAATACCTTAAATTTTTTAATATTCAACTTCTTAACAAATGACTTACATTTTTTTAACGAAAGAAATATAAATTTTCAATTATTGATTTTCTGCAAGGATGATTAAATTCTTTTTATTTTTGCTATCTCTAGTTATAGTTTTGAGGTTGTAATAATTATTATTTAATTTCTAGGAATTTTGTCTGGTTTATTTTTATGATGAAGTAATATATTTGTTCTTAGAGTTTGAAAATAACTATTTTGATTGGGCAAGACTATTGACTAGAATATAATGTAAAATGATTATTTTCTGCAATTTTAGTTATTAATCAAGTGTAGGTACTAAAAATCAATAACTATTATATATTAAGAAAAAAATATTTTGGTTCGGTTACTAACTAAAATAAAATATAAAAATAATTACTTTCTTTTTTAAAATGTTACTTTAATTATTTATGATTGATAAATAAATTCACATAAACATGCTTTAATTTTAGGAACCCAAAATCATTAGGGGACAATGACGATTAGAAAGATGGAGGAAGGAATTCACAAAACAAAACAAAAAAAAAAAAAAAGAACCAAGAAAGAAAGATGGTGTAAGGAATGATGGTGCCCCCTTTTATATTTGACTTTTTAATTTTTTTTTTTTTTGGCGAAGACTTGTGCGTGATATTCACATGATTTTGTCTGAACATTTCCAATATTGTATTTTTCATCATTACTTGTTTCCCTCGTCGCTTTCTGCTTCTCCATTTAATTGCCTTCTTTGTCTGATCAATCAGTCTGTCCCTTAATTGAGCATTAGTTAGTTGCATTTCAACTAATTTGACAATCTTAACAATCTTACTCTTTCCCATCCAACTACCTAATCAAATCAAGGCATCCATTTCAATATCCCTCTCTCTCATCTTTGTTGGTGTAAGGACCTGTCAGCTACTTAATTATACTGACAAATTCAATTAAAATTAATTACCCCTTTCAACTCTATTTTTTCCACAGTAACTATTTTACGGCCTCAAGAAGAGTTAATTGAAATCTTGAAATCTTATTTTTTTTTCACAAGAAATTGTTCATCTTTTCAATTTTATCTTCATATGTTATATAATTAAGTGTCTTAATAATAATAATTGAATCAAAATATAGAACATTAACAAATTTTATATGTTTTTTAATTATACCATCTTTAAAAAATCCTATATAAGAGAACTAATAATAGTAATTAAAATTCTAACACGTTATTTTTTTAAAAAAAAAGTAATAAATAAAGTAAGGTATAGTTGAAAAGATAATAATAAAAGTTATCTAATATCTTATATTTTAAATCAAGCACGATTTCAATAAGATGTCTTATATTATAGTTTCGAGAAAATAGTTGAAAAAAAAATTCTCTCCTTTCAAATTATAAAATAGTTTTAAACAAAATAACACATATTAACAAAGCTTATTAAATATATTTTATGATTTTATTTTTTCAAAATAGAAATCTAAACTCCTAAAAAAGCACTTCATTTTTTTAATACTACCTTCATAAATGAATATTAAAAAGAAATAATATAATGGGAGGGATAATATGAAAAAGCATCAGGGCAATGTTAGATTTTTAATTGTATATATCATTTTGTATAGTTATGGTGGTTATAATGATTTTGATTGTAACTATTTTATTTTCTAATACTTTTTTTATTCTTTGATAAATATCAATATATCTTTATTTTATTTTCTTATGAATCTTGATAGATCTTTTTTTCTTGTAAAAATATATCTCATATTAAATTTAATAAGATAAATTATTATTTTCATAAATTGTATTATGGTATTAGAGTCTGGTCATATTATTGTATTATTCCATAAATATAACATAGGAAAATACTATTAGGCTTTTTATTCTGTATATTATTTTCTGCCACTATTTTATTCATTGATATATCTTGATAAATCTTTATTTTATTTTCTAATGGATCTTGATTTTATTTTCAGATAGATCTCAATATATATTTTTGCCTTGTATAAATATATCTCATATTAAAATTAATACGGTGAGCTGCTATTTTTACAAATTGTATTAGTATCATTAATGAAATTTTATTTTTGTCAAAGTGTCTTGTATTTTAAGATTTCAAAACTCTCCCAAAATTATCTTATAATTTAAAATGAAAGAAGTATAAGAACTATCTAGTATTTTTTATGATCTGTAATAAGTAATTTATAATACCCCTCTTTTTTAAAACAAAGTCTTTCATAACATTTAATGAAATTTTTTAGAACTACTAAAAAAATTACCTTTCACTCTAAGCTTAAGTAATGCTGCTAGTTTTTTCACGTTTTTTAGCTTGACTAAAGGTGATTTTAAAACATTATGAAAATTATTGCTCCATTTGTTTAAAAATATAAAATATTTTTAACTGAATCTCACCCTTCAATAAAGTTGTTACTTACTTTTAAATTAACTCTATCTTTTTATATTTACTCATATTAAACATCCTATAATAAATATAAAGTTACTATCAATAGAGACACTTTTAAAAAAGAAGCAATAATTACATCTCGAAAGATTAAAAATATCTTATGTTTTTTAACATCTAACTCCTCAAAAAACGCCTTACATTTTTAAATGGACAGAGTAACATTTAACTAATTTTAACTATTCTTAATATATAAAAAATAGTTAATATATCTTTATCATAAGCTTCGAATAGATTCAAGTTTTTTGGTATAAATAGTTAAAGATGCATAAAAGAATTGGCATTTCATGGTTGAATAATTCTGACTTTAACTTGGGAAAATTGTTCGGGGATTTAGTCTAACTAGATTAAGTCGGATCACAATACGTGTGCCCATGAACTTTTGATAAATACAAACTTTAGTCAATTAATAAAGGGGAAAAATGAGATATGAACGTCATATATCATTATATTTTATTATTACAAGACGTTATATTATGTGTGTGTTTTGTTCTTAATTTTTCTTTGACAAAAATTCATTAAAGAACTTGTTAAATTTGGCAAAAATACATTTTGAAAGTGATTTGAATATATTTTTTAAGAGTTATTCAGATAAATCCTGTATTGATAATGTACATTATACGTCAGAGAGTTATTCCAAAAAATGAGATATGAACGTCATATATAATTATATATATAATGTACACGTGTGAAACTAAGAAGCTTCAATAGTCATGTTGGTGTTGCTGGGTCAGAAAAGACGTGGAAGTAGACTAAAGTAAAATTGTTCGGGCTATATATAAATATATATATATATATATATATATGATGAAGAATAAAAATAAAATAATTAAAAAAGAAATAAAAATGGACAAGAGACATGCACCAGCGAAGCCACACAAAAAAAAAAAAAAAAATCACATTAAGGATTTGTCTCTACTCTTCCTTGGCCCATACAAACGCGCTTTCTCATTCATCTATTTATGTGGATGGAATGAAGAGTTTTTGGTAAGGCCATGTTTGGTAGGTTGGAATTGTGAAGATGGAAATGGAATTGGAATAGGAATCTGAATAAAGTAATGTTTGGTAAATATGAATTGTAATTCTTGGGAATCCTAATTCTATGGAAAAAAGCTGAATTGGATTCTTTATGTAAATCTATAGATTTGGGAGCAATTCTATAGAATTGTAATATTTAAGACACTTTTGCCCTCATACAAATTTCAAAATGACAAATTTGCCCTCAAAAAAAAATAAAACCCTCACGGCCTCACCTTACTCACACATTCACGCTCGGTCGCGACAGAGGGAGAGAAAGCTGAGAGCTGTTGCAAAACGACAGAAGGCGAGAGCTGTGGCGAGATTGAAGACGAGACGGACGACGGATGACGTGGTCTGGACTGGTATTTTGGATTTCGCGACTAAGGTATGGCAATCGACTTCCGTCCTCCATTCTTTTTCTTCCGTGATTTTATATCCTTTTGCCGCCTCCCCTGTTTAAGCTAGGTTTTTTTCTGGGTATCAAAGCTAAATCAAAGCAAAGAAAATTAAACTAATTAGTACTAAAAAAAAGGAGAATAGAGAATGACGAGCTTGAAAGGAGGCGGAGAAGATTGGAAAGGCGGAGAATTTTATTGAAGGGAAGAGACATAGCCTTTGGAATTCTGGAAAAGATTGTTTTTTGCCGTATTCATGACTTCTTACTGTAGGCTGTTGTTTCAGAAAATATTTATTATAGGACTGTCCTAATAAAAGATTGTGTTTAATTTTATCCACCGGAGACTAGCTTCACTATGATGCCTTATCACCATCTTTGAAGCTATTCGCATGTTCCTCTGATTCTGGATTTCCAGTTACAAATGATGCACAATAATTCAAATTCACTGTTTTGTTTATTTTCACGATGCCTATATTGTCGGCATCTTCAACTCCACCACCCAAATTTTTTTATATTGGGTGGTTCCCACTGCTTTTAGTGTGACTGCCACAAAACCATGCATTCAGAAAGTGTAGTGTACGAGAGTTTACTTCTATGGCAAAAGTTATCTGAAAATTTTTGATCTTTGAATCTCCTTCATCTTCTTTCTTTGACTAGGTTTTGCAAATGGGCAATCCGTTTCTGGTAATATTTATTATGGGACTGTCCTAAAATTTTATAGCGCAATCTCAAGTACAATACATCTAATCAAATTGTTCTTGATCCCTTATCTACTTTGTTGCCACCCACTGTTGGTTTATCTTTACTTGGCTAGCTCATATTTCAGTGTTTCTCTCGTTTATTTTCCTTACTTGCACATGGTCAGGATCTAATATTGAAAGGCCTATAACTGGTGGATTTTGTATCTATA